CGCTCCCCTTTCCAGTCACAGTGGAGTCTCCTCTGCGGCCGACGAATGATCAAAATTGAAATTCCAAAATCCTCATCTTCTTCCCTTTTGATTTTGGTCATGAAACCATAATCCCGCAGGCCACGAAACCTGCTAAAAGGAGAAAAAAAGGAAGATGTTGATCTTCTTCCCCTCCCATCGTCAACGTCGATCCATTCCGTTAAACACTCAATAATTTTACAGTGAGATGTGGAATGACATAATAAGGGGCAGAGTTTGATGACAAGTGAGTAACCCTCAAATCAAATCTCAAACCGGAAAGGGATCCGGAGAATCCCTTTCACCAAATACACTTAATCACTTAATTTGGGGTTTTAAAATTTGATGTAGCGGTTAAAGTTATTATAAATTTTAAAAGGATTTCATGTTTGTAACCGTTTGATCAAATTTTAAAGATCCGAATTGATTGATTGGATGAATTTAGTAGAATTGATCTGGGGAGGATCCCTTTCCTCTCAAACCATCTCTCGTTTTCTAATCGGCGCGCTGTCTTTTGACCCACAATCTTCACTCTTTACTCTCCACTCCCTAGAACTCTACTACCACCCAAAGCACTGACACAATCCAGTACGATCGGACGGTGGTGAAAACTGCAGAGATAGGCGCATCGAAGAACGCGTCCATACAATCTTTCAGGAGGCCTTCGTCTGGAAGAGGAAGAAGTTCATCATTTTCTATTTAAAGTTTTTCCTTTTATTTATTATTTTTAATTATACAAAAATAATAATATTTTTTAATTAAAAAGGTCGTACCCAGTGCACAAGGCTCCCGCTTTACGTAGGGTCTTAATTATTTAAATATTTTTAATTCCCATGGAAATATTTTGTTAGACTTGTAGAACCCAATTATGTGACACATCAGCACATAACAGAATATTTGACAAAAGTGTGACATAATGATTATATTGATTTACGACACCCATTTTGAGAGAATATTGATCGAATTTCAATTTCAGTAACCATCTTGATAGGCTTGGTCAATTTCAAGGACCATTTTAATAAAAACCCTAAAAAAAATGTAACTGCGATTGTTAAATTCTCGAGTTGCACACACAGACACACAACACAACCTTTAAAACTGGTTGGATGGGTATCTTTGCTATGTTTATGGGTCTCCGTAAACCCAGATTATCCAACTTAGAACACCATGCAATCATGTCAAGTTCTCTCTCATGCTTATTAATAAACTTTTAGCTTTCACACCATGCCTCACTTGAGAAAGCCATTATTTGCTTAAGCATGCTATCTTTGGGTCATCAATACAATCGGGATGTTTCCTAAGACGTGTTAATTCTTTCGAGATATTCCGAGACTTGGCACGAAAGCGAACCAAGGAAGTAAATGAGTACTCACAAAGCCTAAGTTCACCTTGACCTAAAAGTTCTCCAACACTCAGAAGTATGATATGAAAGACAAGTAAGTAATCTTTTATTCAGACAATTCTATGGTTGGTCAATGTTCAGTGAACACAATCTCATAGATGAGTACCTTTATGTATATTTCATGTCACTATATACTTAGTTTGAGACCCATTATTGAATACGATTTAAACTGGCTTTTGCGGATGTTCGATAGTGCATTTGATCATCTTATACCTAGGAACATAATTTATAACTTAAGATCCTTAAAGTACGTATCTCAGGCTTGGAACCTTCTTTACAATCTCATCTTTGCAACTTAAGGTATTCCTCTAACTCATCCTCATCAATAATGGACCTTTCTAATCCATTATTATGTCATGTGCTCGATTGACGACGGATGTTCTCATTTATCCTTGCCGTCGATGACTCGACATTTGGTTGCCATGAGTAAAATGTACTTGTTTATGTATCCATCACTCACTCACAATTAAGCTTTTCAAAACCCTAGCTACCTCCTTTTGGATTATGAGCCTAGTACAACTTCTCTCTCTCTCTCTCTAACTTCCAGACAAAGTTATTAATTAGAGAATATTAATAATGGACTCATGCATGATGTTTTAATCTTGTCTTGTCTGTTCATAATTGGCTAATTAATAGCATAATTGAAGGCTTGAAGCTCCCAGTGAGAACACCCTTTTGTTTTTGGTAACTGGGTGAGTGGTACATTGGTACTTACGTACAAGCTATAGTAGTGTCCAAAATTGCTAGATCATACTTTGAATTATTTGTAGTAAACTCTAACGACATATGCCTCAATTAGAAGATACGTCAGCCATTTATGTACACATAATTGAGTATTGGTATCCAAAATAATGGCTAATTAGAGGAAAACATTAGTGTCATATTGAAAAATTGTCACGTAATATAATTATGGGTTAATCTCAGTTTACTACTTTAAAGTTTCTTGATTTTCAACATTTGGTACATGAAGTTTTTTTCATCGCAGAGTGATACATAAAGTTATAATTTTGGGACACTTTCATATATTCGTTAAGGTTACTGTTAAATTTACCGTTAACTGATGACGTGGCATCCACGTGGATAATGACTGGGCGCCACGTGGATATTAAAAAAAAATAAAATAATAAAAACTAAAAAACTTTTGGGCGTTTCTCCCTCACCTCTTCCGACCTCCCTCCCTCTCTCCTCTGCACCCACCCTCACCAAGTCACTCCCACACTCCCCCAAGATCCTCACTCTTCCTTCCCACTTCGACTCTCACCAATGGAGGAAGAAGACCAGCAAAAAGCTGCAGATTTTTAAGCTCTGCGGCGACGTTGAGGTTTTTGGTTTCAGGTCGGATTTGTTGAGGGCGTCAATGATGGGGAGGCCAATGCCTTTGGAGTCCAATTTGTCCCACTGGATGCGTCTGGATTCAGGTTCCGGGTTCCGGGGGTGTTCGATTCAGACCATAAGGGGTTTCCGAGGCCTAGAAACAGTTTCATTTCGAGGATGGAGATTGGGCTCATTACAACGTCGGATTCAGAGACGGCTTTTGAGGTGAAGCTGGTGAACAATCTCGGATTCGCAAAGAAAGAGGAAGTGAGTTTAGTGTGTTTTTCTCTAGGAGAGAGAAGAGAGCCGTTTTCGCCATTGGAGCTAGTTAGCTTGCTTTGATTCTTGAAAAATCCTATAAAAACAAAATTCCTCTGCAAAACAAGAAAAATAACTACTAAATGCACCCAAAATTAAAAATTGAATTGATTTTTACCTAGTAAATTACTCACAAGCTTTGAAGCTGTAGAAATGGCAGAAAGTTGCAGGCTTTTAAGCTTTGTGGTGTTAGAAAACGCTTGGTTGTAGGGGTGGGTATCATGGAAGGGGAAGGGTGTCGGTGGGTGAGGGGTGGAGGGGATGGAGGGGTGGAGCCGTGGAGTCTTAGAGGGGGTAGAGGGGATGGAAGGGTGTTGGGGGGGGGAAGACAAAGGGAGTTCTGGGGGCTTTTTTTTTTTTTTTTTTTTTTTTAAATTAATTAATTATTTTAATATTTTAAATTTGGGCGAATATATATATATATATTTTTAATTTTGAATTTCCACGTGGACCCCTTAATGACATGTGACGCCTAATCATTGTCCACATGGGCGTCACGTCATCAGTTAACGGGAGACTTAACAGCCAGACTAATTGATGGATTAGACTGTCCCAAAATTAACATTTTAGGTATAACTCTTGGACAAAAAAAAATTCATGTGCTAAATGTTGAAAACCACGAAATTTGAGAGTAGTAAACTAAGTTTTACCCTTAATTTTTAATGATAAAATATGAGTGGACTGAAACTGTATATTTTAGCATACAATATCGATCTATAGGTCATTACGTACACAAAGTCATTATATCACATAAGGGTGATCCGTTCTATACAATAATTTCCCGTTTCATGCAATAATTTCTTTAACACTATAGGAGGTGTTTGTTTGCAGTTGGGGAGTTTTAAAGTGATGTGTGGTTATCTTTGGTTTTAAAAGGGACATTTCATGGGAAGGAATAGACAAAGCTACTGTGAGTGACAGACTTCCCACTGTTACTGTTGTTAGTACTGACTCAGCCTTCTTTCTACCCTTCCTCACTATCAGTACTGAACCTCCTGTCATTGCTGCCCCTTCTTTCACTCTTCTAGCCTACATTCTATCATATCACATCCTAAAGCTTAGATTTCATTTCACCATCAGTTTACTCACCCGGGACACGATGACCCAATGACCCATACCCATTCATGTTTCATCATCCAATAAGTAATTAATTAATCACATTAACAGTTTATTGGCACGTCATGTTTTAATTTAATAATATAATGTTATACAAAATTGTTATTAGCATTTTAAAAATCTCACTTTACATTTTTCATAAGTGTCTATTCCTGCCCCGCCGCGCTCTTTCTTATTCTCTCATGAGTTAATTAAAGTGACTTTAATTACTATTGTTAATCAGGTTTACATTGTTATTTAAACATAGGGGTAAATTTACCACTCATATTTCTTACTAATTCGGAACACGCCTTGTTGTGTTATACAATTTCATTCAAATCATAAGAGGTCTATTAATTTTTATTTACAATAATTTAAAAGTACCACTTATTAACATTGTCGTTTACTCATTTTATACCGTGAAATAGTACATTACGTGATAAGTATTTTTGATACATGTAAAAGTTTTTTTGTTTACAGTGCGGTCATCTATAAAAGTAATTTTTTCTTTTTACACAGTGTAAAAACATGACACGTGCATAGTCCATTTCGAAAATGAAGAAACTTTCCATTGTCACGGAAACACGGGTGGAACATCACGTGTTTTAATGTAAGTGGTATGAAATTTTATTTTTTAAGTTATTAACTTTTTAACACACATATCTCATAATTTGTATAGTGACACATGATGTACCATCTCGTGTGCCGATTACACAGAAAAATTTCATCCGAAAATGAAACGATTATTTTGAATTTGAGTGCTGTGTCACATTTTCCATCTCTTCAAGCATCAGGAACCGATCCATCCAAATTGTTTTGTTGTTTTGGTTGTGGATGTCTTTTATTCTGCCAGCTGCTTATCGTTTCTTCTCAGATCATCATACTCGTCTCTTCTCCCTCTTTTCCTTTGTCCTCTTCCTCCCCACCTGCATCTCTATATATATAGAAATAGAAACCCACTTCTTTTTTCTACTGTAACTCTCTCTCTCCCTCTCTCCCTCTCTCTCTCTCTCTCTCTCTCTCTCTCTCCATATATTTCAGCTTTATTTATTCCATCAGATCTAGCTTCTAAAACCCACCTTATTACATATATCAAATTTTCTTCTATTTCTCTCTTTGATGGAGATCACAAGCACTCTTAAACATTCAACATCCATCTCCTTCCTTCCCCTTTCTCTCTATCCATTTCCTGCATGAAACCAATGAATTGACTACAACTTTGCTTTCCCAAAGGAAACTAATTAAACCACCACATCAGAAAACAACACAACCCACTCCCACAAACTAATCAAACATTTCTCTGAAACACAAAATGATGTCCTCAGATACCGCACCGCCGACGAAGCCAAAAGACAACGAGAACCCAACAGAGGGCTCAGGCGGCAGCCGGCCGAAAGCCACGTCGTCATCATCATCGGGGCCAAAGCTGCCACCACCAGAGCAAGCCCTCAACTGCCCGAGATGCGACTCACCCAACACCAAATTCTGCTACTACAACAACTACAGCCTCACGCAGCCACGCCACTTTTGCAAGACTTGCCGGAGATACTGGACCAAAGGCGGCGCCTTACGCAACGTCCCCATCGGCGGCGGCTGCCGGAAGAACAAGAAAATTAGGTCCTCCTCATCTTCCAATTCCAGGCTGTCCTGCAGCTTTGACCCATCAAAAGACTCGGCCGGCTCTTCCTCCTCAGAGAATATGATGCTCGGCGGCTTGAAGTTCTTCCACGGCATTTCCCCCGCCATGGATTTTCAGCTCGGCAGCATATCTAGGCTCCATAATAGCAACCAGTTCTCTACAAACCCAGCAACTGGGATAAATTTCAACAACCCATTTCCAGCTTTCGGAGACGTTTCGGGTACTTCCGGATTGAGTACTTGTACTCTTGAGCCATCAGCCGGCGGTGTGACAAACGCTTGTAATAATTCTTTTCTGGGTTTTAATTATCCGCTCACTTTGGGCGGCCGCGGAGGCAGTGCTAGTGGTAGTGGTGGGTTAATTAGTACACAGAATATGATGAGTGCAATGAACGTGCACAGTAGCCTTGCGTCTTCAATCGAGTCTTTGAGTTCTATTAACCAAGACCTTCACTGGAAATTGCAGCAGCAGAGGCTTGCCATGTTGTTTGGTACGGAAGAACATGACCAGTCAACTCAGTTTCAGCTTGAAAACCAGCAGAAAACGCAGCAGATGATTACACCCATAAGCTTGTTTCAGAATCTGGAGGTTTCATCATCCCCAAGACCTGATCATCATCAAGGTGTAAGTCATGGAAGAAAAGAAGGTGGAGATACTGCCACCGAGTGGTTCTTCGGGAACTCTTATGCACCAGCGGTGACTCAGACGCCAACCAACAGCGGTGGTGGTGGCGGCGGAGCCAGCAATGAGAACGCAAGCAACTGGCCCCATGGAATTCCAGCGTGGAGTAGTCATGATTGGCAGCAGTACAATGCTTTGCTCTAGATCATGAGAGAGAGGTAGATGACAATTTGAAAGCATGATAATCAGAAATTAATGGGGAAAATTTTATTAATTTGTTTAAGAAATTATCTAAGAACTAAAAACACAATTTGGCATATGTTTCCTTTGATGTTGTTTATGCTGGGGGTTATTCATATGCAAAACTGTAAAAGTTAACTGGTAACAAAAGGAAAAGAAAAATTAATGCTAGAGAGACTAAATTTGCACACTAAATAATGTGTCACTAATAAGAATAAACACGTTTATCAACGTTTAAGTAATAAATCAATCATCAACTTTCATGTCATTAATTTTCAAAATTTTATCTCCAAATTTAGTCTCTCTATTATTACCAAAAAGAAAATAGTACGTTTTGCCCTAATTTCAAGATTATATTTATTTATTATTATCCAGTATTTAACGTAAGGATGACCAATATATGACCCAAAAAAGGTGGTGCTCAAATGTGTGGATATATATGTTCATGGTAGTTTCCCCATTTTCTTATGCATTTTACATTAGATTGAAAGATTGATGTTTGTAATAACAATAAATACAGTAGCTTTCCATGAACTGAAAGCAATTTTAAGCTGGCCTTGCACCAAAATACAAGAAAATCTACTATTTATTAATCTATATATATGTAGATTGAAACAAATAAATTTGTTGTTGCCTAATTAAGTTTCTTCGAACACTTAATCAAGGAATGATTATGAATAGAATAGGATTATAGGATTACATGTACATGAGGTTTTTTAGTACCTTATGAATTCTTTTGGCAATGATGTGGTAATTAAACATCATTTAGGGTTTAAATTGATCTCATTGCTCAGTACTCAATATACTAATTCAGTTAAGAAGGGGTTAAGTTTCTCCCCCTTGTCTCAAAATATTAATCCCATCGGGATCTGTGTATGTAGATTTTGGGGTGTTATTAAATGGGACTTAATGCCATATCTTTGATTTGTTTTATGTTCAGTCGGCGTCTACAACTCTCACTGTCTGGTAAGTAAGTGTGCCTTTGTCTCTCGCGTAGATTCTCTCTCCTTCTCTCTAGACATCTCTATCAGTCAAGGAACTGAGTCTCAGGCTCCATCTTCATCTCTCATTGTATGGAGTAGCAGTAAGGGGTCAGCTAGTTAAAGCCTCCACTGTCGGGCCTCTTCCTAGCTCTGCAATAGTTGCCATGTGAGGCAACCTAGCCTGCCTGCTCTCTCTCTCTCTCTCTATAGATCTGTTGCTTATTGGGGTTGCGTTTGTAATAATTAGTATGGCAGTGTGGTGTGATTTGGTGCTGTCTGAAAAAGTGGTGGTTTGAAAGTGTATTCAATGAAGGACTGTCAACATTTGAATCAACCAGAGATATAGAGAGATAGAGAAAAGTGCTTAGGGTTCGGTTTTTTTGGTTTAAAAAAAAAATATATTCATGTGTAGCTTTTTAGAAGTGTTGGAGATCGAGCTCTTTCCTCCGTGCTAATTGCTATGCTATTGAATAAAAAATCTTCATCTTTCCTCTCAATCCTCATTGAGATCCTGTTTCACTTCATTTTCATTTCATTTCATGAGAGAAAATTTTTAATGTGCTAGAAATATGTTTCGGCATTATAAGTATCATAGTATAATTAGTTGAATTTTATTTTTAAAATTTTTAACTCATTGTATCATTACATTTGATGTACCAGACTACATTTGATGTACCATTGTATCCATGAGAGAGGATTTGCTTTTTCACCTTCCAACTTTATTCTGCACTTTGCCTATTTATGTGAAACTAAAAACAGACCCCACGGGCCACAGCTTTCAAAATTATTAGCAGAAATATTGCATAAAGCTCCTACAAAAAGAATGATTATGCTATCCATACAACCATTCTTATAACTTCTAGAATTTGATTTTATTCAATTTATTCGATCCGATAGCACACCCCAAAAAAGAATCCTGCATTTCCCCTTATAAGTTATATCCATGTATATTTTACTCAACTATGTATGTGTACCCTAAAAAGCAAAGCATGCATGCTTTTAATTACTTAATTAGGTATTATGCGTTTTCCGTGCAGCATTCTTACATAAATACATATATGGTTTGCTTGTCCTTTAATGCTTAAGAAATCTTTGCATGGATGAAACCCATCTCTCTCTCTCTCTCTCTCTCATCTATGAGGGAGAACCATCAACTTGATTACCATGTCCTGTAAAAACAAGGCCAATCCTTTCTGTCTTCACCTTTCTTAAAAAATGGGCTGGCTAGCTACAAGCAAGGCAAAAAGGTTGTGTGTGTGTAAAAAAAAAAAAAATAAAAAAAAAAAAAAAAAAAAAAAATATATATATATATATATATATATCAGTTGAGGGTGTTTCAGTTGTGTGTGTATATATATATATGTGTGTGCGTGTATCTATCAGTTGAGGGTGTTTCAGTTGTGTGTGTGTGTGTGTGTGTGTGTATATATATGTATGTGTATCTATCAGTTGAGGGTGTTTCAGACCCTTTATTGCATCATTCTTTTGGGTTTAGGGTTTAAGGTTTAAGGCACTGTGACACCACCAACTCCCAACTGCTAGGCCCCCCATTTACAAATATGCTGCTTCTACTTTTTCATTCATCCTCCTCTCTCTCTCTCTCTCTCCCTCTCTCGGACACACATGGATTCAGTAAAGATATATATGAAAAGAAGATATACTCAATACATTATCAATCATAACCATTCCCAGTATACTTCTATTCTTGCAAATTTTAAAATTATACATATATATATACGTAACTCTCTCTGTTTACGTTTTTGCAAACAATTTAACATCCATGCATGCAAAGAAATGATTTTAAAATTATTACATATATATATTAATTAATTTAGAGAGACAGAGACATATGAGGGGCTCAACAACGGAAGAACATGAAGCTGCGTGATTAACGTGAAGAACTGAGAGAGAGAGAGAGAGAGAGAGAGAGAGAGAGAGACTTTGTTAAACTGTGTTTGTGTCAACTGTCATTTTACAAGTTACAACCTAGCTCGAGCTATCTGCAAGAAACTCATGACTCTCCCAGTTGAGAAAATATAGGATGTTTTATATCCTCACTTGCCTTATCCTACAACCCCATTGTGGGCCACCACCTACTATATATATATGTGTGTGTGTGTGTGTGTGTCCGTTGATTAACCTCATCATCGACATCTATCATCCAATTAAACATGCATGTATATATGTTGTGGGGCCATTTCTAGAAAGAGCACGAAGTTCATGCTTACGAGTAGCCAGACATCTTTCTTTATTCAACCGCACGTTATTTCAGAGGGCGTCATGCTTCATGATGACATGAAGCAAACGGAGTTGTGGATTACCTCTTTTACGCTCAATGGTTTTTACCAGATAATGGAAGACTAATTAACTTTTTCCTTGATCACATTTCCTAATCTTTTGAATGTCGACTTAATATTTATATAATATTAATTAATCCATTTCTTTGCATTTTGACATATATTCTACCGACATCATGCATAGTAAAATTTTATAATGATAAACAGTCATTTAAGTATCTGTAACGTTGTCAAAACTATTCATTTCATTTATTACATATCAAGTGAATTCTTATATACACTAATGCGTTACACAGTCAACATTTTAACATGTCATGCTATGCCCTAAGACGACACTTTCACATTATTTTATTATAAAGTAATCCTCTTGATTTTTCTCAGGCTAATTTGCAGCAAATGTCCCTTAACTATACAACGAGTTTAATTTTCGTCGCTGAACTCTATTAATAGTTTTTTCTTTCTTCGAATTATGTCATTTGTTGCACTAGTAATCATTTTCATTAGTTTTGTCAAATTTTTCATTAAGTTGAGGGATAAAATAGAAATTTCATCCGAAAAATATAAAAATGAATTTTTTAACTAGAAAGACTTGGCTCCTCAAGGATCGAGGAGGAACTCCTCCTCAAAATACCTCATGACATATTCACAAAACTTTGTGCTTATGATTGAAACTCCTTAAGGATTAAATGATCTTAGTTTTAATTGATATTTTGAAGAAATGATCTTTACATAGTGATTTATAATATGAACAGTTTCAATTATAAGCGCAAAATTGAGTAGGCAACGAAGTATTTTGAGGAGGAACTCCTCCTTAACCTTAAGGAGCCAAGCTTTTATCTTTTTTGAATAAATTAGATTTTTTTTGCATGAAAAGACCACTATACCCTTAAATTTGACGGAAAAGAAGAGAAATTTGACGGAAGCACTACTCATACAACACGAAGTTAATTTGAAGAACAAGATAAACTAATATGAGAATTGAGGGATGAAAACATGGGATAAAGTTTAAGACCTTTGCTACCGGGCGCCATTTTTCACAATATCATTGATAATCAAGCTAGCTAGGGCTCAACTGGTATAAACAAATTAGGGCACACGAGAAAGGAGATTCTTTCTTTTTAAGTAAAACATGGACGTGGCAATTAAGTAAGGATATCAAACATGTCATCATCAAAATCACCATAATATATAGGGTAAATTACACTTTACCACTTTTTGTTTGAGGTCTATTACAATCTCATACAATATCTTCAAAACATTTCACTTTCATACCTCACTTATTATTTTATTTCAATATAATATATTTGTTACATTTTCTATCTATTGATCAGTTAAGAGCTGATATGGCGGCCACATTTTTTTATTCATTTAAAATATTATAATAATTTACCGTTTAAAAAAAAAAACACACACACACACACGAACACAAACCCACCTCCCCGCAAGCCCCCACCCCTGCAAACAAACCCATAAACCTTCAGCCCCCCCCCCCCCCAACGACCCATCTTCCTCTCCTCCACTCTCTTCACCTCCCTTCCCAAAAATCCCATTTTCAGTCCTCTCCTCACTCACCATTTCTGATTGCTTCTCTCTCTCTAGGAGATGAGTCCTCAAACCCTAACCCTAATTTCATGCACTCCTCTCTCTTCTTCTTCTTCTTCCTATTGTCGATCGATTCATAGAGACGCTCGCCGGTGGTCTCGCTCCCACAGAAAACGCAGGAGTTTGGATGGAGGGGTGGCTCGGGTGGGATATTTGGGCGTGGCAGCGGTCTCCGGGAAGGTGGAGGTGGGGTGGGGGGTTGCGGAGGTGAGGGTGGGGCAGGATGGGGTGTTTGGGTTGCAGGGAAGGGGGAGGGTGCAGGGGTTCTGGGTTTGTTTGGTTTTCGCTTCTTCTTATTTATTATTTTTTAATAGGGTAAATATTATTATATTTTAAATGCATAAAAAATTATTATTTTTGCCATGTGGCACAATTTGGCAGCCACGTCAGCACAAATGTGGATTCCATATTTGCCACGTCATCACTTAACAGTTTACTTAATGGATTTTCTAACGGATGTATGAAATTGAAATAAAATGATAAGTAAATGTATGAAATTGAAATGTTTTAAAGATGTTGTAAGGAATTGAAATTGACCTCAAACTTGAGGGAGTAAAATATAATTTACCTTAATATATAATGTTCGTCCTTGCAATAAGTTTTGTTTTGTTGTGTCTTTGATGACCTGTTGGACAATGGGGACACTAGCCCTCACACCCCACCCTTAGGAGAGATTTTTCAGTGTGACCGGCACACGAGGTGTTACATCACGTGTCACTATAAAAATAGTGGGATTTGTGTATTAAAAAGTTAATAATTTAAAAAATAAAATTTTCCATCACTTACATAAAAATATGTGGTACCACTCGTATTCCTGTCATAATAAAAAATTTCTCCACCCGTAGAGAACGAGGAAATCGCTTTCATTTGCGTCATCCCTTTTGGCATTTTCCTGCGAGGTCGGAAAGCTGTCACCCCCTTCTCTCTCAGACACAGACACACCTTCCACCAAGCCACCTTCATCATTTCAATTTAGTTTTTTAATTACGGGATTAGATAAGTCGTTATTCACAATTTGTATTTCACAAAACTTTGGTACAGCTCCTCTCTCTCAGACAAACACACGCACTTTCCACCAAGCCACCTTCATCATTTCAATTTAGTGTTATTGGATTTTTAGATAAGTTAATCGCAATTTGTATTTCACAAAACTTTGTACAGCTTTTGACTGCAACATTCAAACCAATATATTTAGTGCTTCTGTTCTGCACATTGAAGTGCAAAGTGATTAGTAAGGGATATATGCGGCATTTCTGCTGGAGTTGCAAAATCTGTTACATCTACATTCTAACGAACCTACAACTAATGTTAATGTTGTATGTGAATGATGGAAATATATTTAACTTCATGTAGTTGCATGATATATAAAGCTAGACTCCTGCAAAGAGGCCTAAGTGGATATAGTCTGTTTAATTTGATATTACGTTTGACTGTAAGCGTTCAACTCAAAATCAATTTGCAGTGGTTAGCAAAATCCCAAATTTATTGAGTTCTTATGCTAGACTTCTTTCGTTAGGATCTCTCAATATTACAACTTAACCTACGTCCTCTTTGAACAAATTGAATCCCCAACAGCTAAATGATTTTAAAAGATGATG